TAGGTGTCCGCTGGGGGTCGGCGGTGGGTCGGTTGGGGTCGGATGTGGTGAGTTGCATCATCCGACACATCAATGTCCACATCAGAGTCAGTAAACTCTTCTCCTTCCTCATCGTCTTCGCCTTCGTCCCCGTTGCCCTGGGACCCTGGACTCTGTGGTGGAGCGGCCAGACCCAGTTTGACCAGTTTGGCCTGCTGCTGCTCCAGACTCTGCTTGCGCCACTTGATGCGTCGGTTCTGGAACCAGACTTTGACCTGGAAGACAGAGGCAGAGGTTAGAGGGAGGCAGTGGACAGGAGTCTGTCCCAGTGTGTCTGGGTCTAAGGTCCGTTGTTTGACTCTTGAACTGTGGACCCACCTGTGCCTCCGTCAGGTGCAGAGCTGACGCCAGCAGGACCCGCTCTGATCCAACCATGTACTGCTGCCGCGCGAACTCCTTCTCCAACCGCGACAGCTGCTCACTGGTGAAGCTGGTGCGCATGCGTTTGGACTTCCCTCCTTTCGTTTTAAAGCAATGCAACCCGGAGTTGACTTTAGACATCGGTGCTGTGGGAGAGAAGAAGAATGTTTAAATAAAGTAGGAAACAGTCGCAGGAAAAGTCCAGTGGAATCAAACGGAAACCTCCAGGATTAACCGACATGGCGGCTCGTTTTTACCTTGAGGGTAAAAGGCTCCGCGGCAGCTGGGATAGCTGGGGTAAGAGAAGTTCGGGCAGCAGTAGAGCGAGTATCCGGGCTGCGTGTGGACCGCAGAGTGCGGCAGGTTCGGTGAGTATAGGAACGGTCCAGGCGCCGAGTTGGAGCCTAAATGTGCGCCGAGAGGCAGCAGCGGAGCCCCGGGAGGAAAAGAGAGTCCACACTCCGTGGGACTGGTTCTGCTGGTTCTGCCGTTGGAGTCCTCTCCTCTGGAGATGGTGAAGGACTTCCCACTCGTGGGTTTCACGGGTGACGAGCGTCCAGTGTTCTGCTGCAGTGGAAAGAGCGGAGCTGCTGCGTAATGACGCACAGAGAATCCAAACGCTGCTGCGCTCTGCATCTTCACAGTCTGGGAGAAGTCTTCAGTAACGGGATGGTCCGAGTGTGGAGAGGGGACTGCTGGCTGCTGAGACCCTGCCCCGCATTTATAGTCCTGCCGCGCACTGAGGTGTGAAGCGCGCCCCCGCTGCGCCTTTGTCTTTGTGGGAGAAACCAACAACCAGACAACGATTCCAATTAAGTCCTGGAGTAAAACAAGCTGTGATTGTCAAACATCCTCAGTCTTTAAATGACAAGCTTTGAAGAGTGGATGGGGGCGGGGCGTGGGCGTGGTCACGTGCCTTTGGTGGCTGCAGAGTCTTCCATGGATCTTAAATCCAAATAGAATCATCACCGCTGAGAGAAAAGCCTTCATGTTTCCACAGACTCTAATTTGGGCTCTTTTCAAGTCCAGACGGAGACACAGAGGCTTAGAGCAGTGTGAAGAAACTAATTTTAATTTGGACACAGTGGCGTTCGACAAAGACACAGATGAAACCCTTCTGTCACTGTGGAGGCTTTAGTTTTACTCCCGTCTCCTCCTTTGTTCGCCTCCCCAGCTTTAACCCCAAAAACCTAATGGAGATTTGTCTTCACGCGGCTAAAAGTGGAGACGTAGTGTTGTGTCAACAGTCCATCATCTGTTTCCTGTGTCTTCGTCCCCGCAGTGAGGTTTTTTACAGCAGCGGTGTCGCTTTTTCAAGTGACTCAATGTTCTGCGTCAACGAGGCGTCAAATTCTCCAGGTCGTACTAAGAGTCACACTGAGAAGAAGAAGAAGAAGATGGTGATGATGATGATGATGACGGTGGTCATTATAGTGATGATGACGATAAGAGTTATAATAGTTATAACAGTGCTGATAGCCTCAAATTTACTATCTGATTATTGTTATTTTATAAAAATCTATATTTTCCCACGGAGTAAAACCAAACATTTGGACCTTTTCCATTCTCTTTTATTACATCATAAATATCTGTATGCTTGAATTTAATTAGTTCCTTAAAAATAATAGTCAATCATCATATACATATACAGTATTAAACAGGAGGTCAGGCTTATTTTTAACCCTTTTTAACAACAGAACAAACGTCATCTAAATAGTTTTGTCCTCTCCAGGGTTTGGAGACTGGAGAAGCAGCTCTTCCTTTGCTCTCTTTGAAGGCAGTGACTGAAGTTGTGTTTAAGCCTGGATTATGAGCAGCTCATCATCATGTGAACTGCGTGAGTCTGCGACACTAAGAAGCCATTAAAACCTCTGCTGCCTTTATTTATTCTGACTCCTCTGACACTTTAATGTCTAATGAAGGAAACAAACACTCAACTTTTCTCAGCAATCAGCGGACTCTTCTGATGCTGACCCTGCGAGGCCGCTGAGACCACCCACTTTTACCAGGCTTAAAACCCTGAAACTCAAGGACTGAGACTGAGGACTTGTGGAAGTACTGCATTCAAAGACAATTCAAATATCTCAACTATCAAAATTAAAAACTTCTCAACCACTGTGAAAAATACACACAAAAACCAGGTTTATTTTATTGTATTGAAGTATACTTAAGGATATGATCCTCAGTGGGAGGACATTTCATTACTTTTGGCAGATCTTGAATATCTTTTCTGAACCTGAAAACTACAATATCTTTCTAACTATGTAAAGTATTTCATCAAAGTACTTTTCAGAATGAAGAGGTCATATTAAATAAACAGAATAAACAGAATATTCAGGTCCAAGAACTTCTGTTGTCATCAAAAGACCAACTTAATGTGGATTATTAGCACAGCTTCACATGAATAATGGCACGTTTTCTGTTTAAACTTCTTTCTTCAGTTTTTGATCATTGATCAAATTTCTCCTGACTCTGAACTTCTCCTGATAATCATTTCAGTTCCGTTGGTGTTCCTGTGCGTTGTGTTGAGGCTTTAAAGGAGCATCACGTAGTTCATCCTTCTCTGTTCTCTGATGGGCAGGATACAAACTGACCTTTGACCTTTTCTCCTGACTCTAATCTCCCTCAGCAGTGAAGAACTCTTGACTTTTTCCTTTTCCTTTTTTCCTTCTGCAGTTTCATAAATCCACAGAGTGGAGCTGCGGCAGCGTCTTCAGGAGAACACCGTGAGTTTCATGTGTATTGAAGCCAGACGATGAATACGCGCTGTATTGTCCTGAAGTGTCCTCTCAGCTCATTCATAGTCATGTCCCCAGAGAAGCAGAGAGGCTGCTCTCCATTAACTGATGAGCCATCCTTCCTAAATGAGCCTCAGACAAAGAACTTCAAACTGCTCCTCCATTCAGGATCTGCAGATTTGAAACCAGGACCCTCGCTCACTTTTCTCACCTCTGGCTCTTTAACAACCTTCAGTTTCATTCAGCTTCAAATTTGACTCTGTTTTAAAGAATTTCTTTTCCACATTAACCAAAAGACTGAGGCTATTTTCACCAGGCTGTGTTTGATTTTTTTTTTTAATTCCTGTAATGTTTAGTCAAACATTTGATGAATTTTTACATTAAAAAACATGGAAAGATTAGGAGCTTCAAACTTTATACCCTGGCATTCATATTGATTTAATTAACAAAATTAACATTCACTTTTTTTTTAATTTGAACCCTCTCTTGTTAACATGTGTGAATTAAAGATTGATGGACACAATTTTGTAATAGTTACTTTAAATATATATATATATATATCCTGCGAACATATCTATTTTATTTTAACTCAACTCTTCATTCAAACTACTGCTGCTGCTGAGTTTATCTTTATACATAACGTAGGATTAACAGAATCAGGATCTAAATACCTTTGAACTGTGATTAAAAAAGAAAAAAAATAAAGAAATAACAGGAAATCAAAGAAACAAACATCAGTCGTTGTTATAATAATTATAACACAAAGTAGAAAGTGAAGAAATATCAGACAAAGGGTCAATTGAAAATGAGACTAATAACAAAATGTTTTTTTCTGACTGAAAACATTTCACATCTGGAGTTTTTTTCCCCTCAGTCTCGGCTGCGTTCTCAGTTCACACATGATTGAACGAGACAAAGGCGAAGTGAAAACACTGTCATCATTATGTAACTGAGGTGATTTTCTCACCTGAAGACGGTTTTTAACAACCACTGTAATCTGAGCTGCTGCAGCTTTTTGTACCTGCATCACTAATGACTGCTGCTGCTAAAGCTAATGCTGCTAATGCTGCTGCTGTAGGCACTTTGGGGCGATCACTGCTGGGACCGGCTGCTCCGTCTGCTTCACCATGACTCTGAACTCCAGTCACACTAAAAACAAACATTTGTTCCTTCATCTGTTCTAAATAAGAAGAACATTCTGGAAGAAACACTCTAGTAAAAATGGTATTGTTCCAAGTTGATGAACCACAGCGTCCATGTCCAGCCATATCAATATCTGATTGTCACCTTCTCAGGTCTTGTCCAAACAAGTCTTTCATCAGGTGTCAGGTCTTTATAGACACATGTCCACTTTAACAGAGACATGTCCTCACAAGTATTGCGGGAGGTTTTCACACCAAACATTTCATTTGAAGAGTTACTGTCAGTGGGACATGAAATAGAAGAATAAAAGGCTCAGTTTGAAAAAAAAACCCAAAACATTTTTATTCATTTTAATTTTTCAAAATTATAATTGTAATTAAATCTATAATTTCTTTTGACCAGTGCAGCTACTTTTCACGCACAGTATTTACGTCTGTGTATTTCTTCTATAGGAAATGATCTGACAAACAAAAAAAAGACCAAAAACCAGTGAGTGAGACCCCAAACCAGTGATCAAGACCAGAAACCAGTGACTGAGACACAAAAGAGCGAGACCATGAACTGGTGAGTGAGGACAGAACCCCCTGAAGATGATGACGACTCTGATTCAAAGGCCATTGAATTGAAACTTCTGATTTAGATTTTGTTTGCTTTTCACTTGCATTTAGCATGTCGTTAGCATCTGTTAGCATTAGCATCAACACCAGAGCTCTGAGGGTTTTGTTTTTTCTTTTTTAACCAGAGCTCTGAGGTATAACCTGTCCAGTCACAGAGACCAGTGTCACGTCACAACAGGATTATTGAACTTTGTTTACCTCGGTTGTATCAATCTGACGTCTCTGATGTCACCTGTCCTGGGAACAAAAACCTCTGAGTTTTCAACTAGACTCAACCACACTTCTAATATAACAGTTAGGGGGCGACATTGTTAAAATGTTGCACCTTATATGAGCTATAAGAAGCTAGGTTGCAGTGGTTAGGGCACAGAATGAGGACGATTGACTGATCATCTGATTGAAGTCTTTAGGCTTCGGTGGAAAAAATGTGTCTTTAAAATGTGATTAGACGTTTAATCTCCTGGTAAAACCTGATCATCACAGACCTCTAAAAGCATGCCTCTACCCCTCTTCATCCTCCTTCTCCTTCTCCTCCTCTTCTTTAATAGGGGTGAGAATTAGTGGGTTGGACTTTGACACCAAACGTGTGTTGACACTTCCTGTGGGCGTCAGAACTCATCTGTAAAGCTCTTCTGTAGAGGGATTAATGTTTGGGCTTAATTCATTTCCTGTCTCTTCACTTTCTCTGTGTTTGCTTTATATTTAACTGACACACTCCCCCCTCAAGCCCCCGACATCCCCACTCCTCACCATCCTCTGCTCCACAGGCCATCAGAGGGAAATGACCGTGAACTAGCGGCTTCTCACCCACTTCTATTGTCTTCTTTACGAATCAGAAGAAAGAAAAATTAACAACAACTAGCATCTTGGCTGTTTTGGGGTTTGGGAATTAAAAGAGCTTCAAGCACTTGTTGCTAAACTTGGTCTGTCTGTCTGTCTGTCTCTGTCAGACTTTTTTTTTGTTCATCCTGATCTTTATTTCTCAAACTTTTTACACTCTGTCCCACCTGAGAGATCA